AGCAAAAGAAAATGCCTCATTTCATGTGGGGTGAAGCAGCTGCTACTGCAGCATATCTCATAAACAGAAGTCCTACAAAGAAGTTACAGGACAAGACACCAGAGGAAGCATAGAGTGGAGTCAAACCAAGTGTTCAGCATTTAAGGATCTTTGGTTCATTATGTTTCAGACATGTGCCTGATCAACTAAGAAGGAAGTTAGATGATAAATCCCAAGTAATGATTATGGTTGGCTATCATCAAATTGGTGCATACAAACTATATAATCCAAATAATAAGAAGATAGTATTCAGCAAAGATGTAAGATTTGATGAATCAAAGGAATGGGATTGGAAAGAAAAGGTCTCACATAAAGGTAACAATCATTTACCCCTCTCTGACTCAGAGACAGAAGAAGGTAAGATTGAGGAACAAGAAGAAGTTGATGAAGATACAAATGAAGAAGGTGCAGAAGTAATCAATAGACCAACAAGGAATACTCAACCACCAGCCAGACTGGGGGACTATGTGAGATTCCCTTATCAAGCAGTCACCGATGAGGGTGATATAGTGCAATTAGCAATGCTGGATGAAACTGAACCAGTGCCTTTTGAAGAAGCTTTAAAACAGAAACATTGGAAGATAGCCATGATTGAAGAACTGAGTTCTATAGAAAAGAATGAGACATGGAAATTAGTTAAGTTACCTGCTAATAAGAGTTGTATTGATGTCAAGTGGGGTTTTAAGACAAAACTAAGGCCAGATGGGCAAGTGGCAAAATACAAGGCTAGATTAGTAGCAAGAAGATTCTTACAAAGGCATGGACAAGATTACTATGAAGTCTATGCTCCAGTAGCGAGAATGGAAACAATCAGACTGATTGTGGCAATAGCAGTTTAGAATGACTGGTCTGTGTATCAGCTAGATGTAAAGTCAGCCTTTTTAAATGGTGAGCTAGAAGAAGAAGTATATGTGAATCAGCCACCAGGATTTGAGATAGAAGGAAAGGAAGAAGATGTTTATAAGCTGAACAAAGTCCTGTATGGGCTGAAGCAAGCCCCAAGGGCTTGGAACAAGAGAATAGACAGTTTTCTTGTTCAGCAAGGTTTCATGAAGTGTGTAAATGAACATGGAATTTACAGTAGGAATACCACAGATAATCTCATTGTATGTCTATATGTGGATGACATGATAGTGACTGGAAACAATGAAGCTGAAATGGAGGTGTTTAAGGAAAACATGATCAAGGTATTTGAGATGTCTGACTTAGGCAGACTCACATACTTCCTAGGAATTGAGTTTGACAGAAATGATCAAGGAATGATTATTCATCAAAGGAAATATGCTCAAGATGTGCTAAAAAGGTTTAACATGGTAAACTGCAAGCCAGCTACAACTCCTGTTGATACAAGGACAAAGTTATCCTTGGAGAATGATGAAGAGTAAGTAAATCCTACTCTGTTCAAACAGCTTGTTGGTTCCCTAAGATACTTGTGTCACACAAGACCTGATATTACATATGGTGTAGGGATGATCAGCAGGTACATGGTGAAGTCAACCACTTCTCATTTAATCGCAGCCAAGAGGATATTGAGGTATGTGAAGGGTACATACAGGTATGGAATTCAATATTGTAAAGATCAAGGAGGTGAATTGATAGGCTATTCAGATTCAGATTGGAGTGGTGATAAAGATGACAGGAAGAGTACAGCAGCATATGTGTTTATGATTCGAAATGCAGTCTTTACATGGAGCTCAAAGAAGGAACCAGTGGTGGCTTTATCCTCATGTGAAGCTGAGTATATAGCAGCTTCCATGGCAGCCTGTCAAGCTCAGTGGACAAACATGTTATTGAATGAATTAAAGCTGATAAGGAATGGAAGAGTAGAACTCAGAGTTGACAGTAAATCAGCCATAGACTTGGCAAAACACCCTGTAGCACATGGTAGAAGCAAGCATATTGAAACCAAATTTCACTTTTTAAGAGAACAAGTGAATAATGGAAAGTTAGAGATGAGCTACTGCAAAACAGATGAGCAATTGGTTGACCTGCTCACAAAACCACTAAAAACAAGCAGATTTGATGATCTAAGGATGAAGCTAGGCATGGTGGAAGCATCTAACTAATCGAATTAAGGAGCTGTATTAGCTTAATAGTATGTTCAGTAGCGGATGTCATAGCATCCGTTATAACATCAACTGTCTATTAGCTTTGTAATTCTGTTAGTTAGTTAAGGCAGTTTGTTAGTTAGTTGGATTGTTATAAAAGTCAATGTTATGTGGTGTACAATGTAATGCAATTACTGTAACTTTCATACAATTCAGTTTTCACCAATCTCATCTCATTTCTCGATGCATCATTGCATGATTGTTCTATCAGTTATTCACTACAAGAAAAATTGAAATTTGTCAAGTGATAATCACCTCGCAGAAAATAGATTTACGGGATATTTTTCACATCGCAGCATAGTTAAAAAAAAAATAATACGTATTTCCATCTCGCAACAGATGGAGGGAAATTTGAAATTTTTTAAAAGAAAGTTGTGAAGTGAAAAACACCCCGCAATTTTTTTTAAATTTGGGGGAAAATTAAATGTTGCAATTAGTAATGGTCAGAATGGTAGGTGGCTGTTTTTGCTCTTTTTCTGACACAAGTTTTGTGAGGTGAGTTTTAATTCGCAAGTCCCAACGATTGCATGCGTTGCGAGGTGATTTCTACTTCGCATGTTCCAACGGTCAGATCATTAATTTTTACACAAAGTAGCAGATGGTGTGACTGACACAAGGGTTGCTAAAGAATGTTGCGAGGTGATTTCTACTTTGCAAGTCCCAACGGTTTAAAAGTTACAGGGTGATTTTCACCTCACAACCTCCTAATAAATACCACCGCTTCAGCTTTCATTTTTCAGAATCACTTAACAAAATCTCTCAAACTTCTTCTTTCTTTCTCTAAAACATTTTCTTTCATTCTTTTCCAGCCTCTCAAAATCTCTCCCATCTCTAAATTTTAACAAAAGTTAAAACTTCCAGAGACATCAAAGATTCAAAATTTTTGTTAGATTCATATTTGCTTTCAAGTTTTTCATCAAATTTATTTACTAAGGTACACATATTGTTTGTTATTTTACACTGGGTTGTATGAGCTGGTTTAAATTATGTCTTTTTATTTTTTTTTTAAGTTTGTATGATAAAAATAGCGATGGTTAGATTTGTATATAATATTTTAAAATTTTGTTGATGAAATTTATCATTGTATTGTGTGTAAACGGGTTGAAATGATAGATAAAATATATGTTTATGATATATGTAAATTACAATTTTTTTCTTCGTTTTTTCAAAAATAAATAAATAGTATTACACATTTTAGTTTATTATTTTTTTTAAATATACAGATTTTAAAAATATTATATTTTGTAAGTATTATAAATAAATAAATATATGTAAAACAGTAATATTATAGATTTTAGAAATAAATAATATTATATATCTGAATATAGAAATTTTATTTTTTTAAAACAGAAAAATATTATTTTTCAAAATAGAATATTATTATTAATATTATATTTCTAAAAACATATTAATATTATATTCAAAATATTTATGTTAATATTATATTTTTAAAAACATAAAAATATTGTTTTTTTAAAAATGGAATATTATTATTTTAAAAATGTTTATATCAATATTATATTTCTAAAAACAGAAAAACATTATTTTTTAAAAATGGAATATTATTTTTGATTTTTTTTAGTAATATTATTATAAATTATAAAAATAGAATATTATTAATATTTGTAAAAAAAAAACATATTATTATTTTTAAAATCAAAATATTATATATTTTATAAAAACACAATATTATTTTTATTTTTGAAAACATAATATTATTATTTTTACTATATTATTGTAAAAAAAAATAATATTTTAGAATTTCATGGTAGTGCATTGTCAGTGTAAAAAAGTATTATATATACATCTAATCATAATATTTAAAGTGGCAAATCATATAAGTAATTCAAAATTTACAGGCTGATTTGGCAGGATACATGGTTGTCATTGGTTCACAGTGTAAAAATAATTTAAACTGTCAGTGCACCATCTTTTTTTTCATATTATTAATATTTGTAAAAATAGCATATTATTATTAAAAAACAAAATAATAAAAAAACAGAAAAATATCATCTAAGTTTAAAATTGAGGAGGACTATTTAGATCAATGATCCTGAATTTAAATATTTTAAATTAATTATGAATTTTTAAAATTAAGTATGAATTTAAATATTTTTAATTATTTATGAATTTAATATTTTTAATTAATTTATAAATTTAAATTATTTATTATATTTATATTATTATAAATATTAAAATTAATATTTAGAATAACATAAATATATCATTTTTTATTATATTATTTATTGTTTGTGTGGTGTATTTTATTTGACAAATTCAAAAAAATAATCATGTGAAATTCACTCAACAAAATTATTTATTTTTAAAATTTGTCCGGTGAAATTCACCCAACAAATTTGCTAGGTAAAATTCACTTCGCAACTTTCTTTCTGTTTTCTCTACTATCCTCTACATCTAGCTAACTTGCAGCGTGATTTTCTCCTTGCAACCTTTTGTGATTAAGTTTTTGCAGGTTATTTGGTACACTCTGTAATAATTACGTTTGCAGAGTAATATTTGCATTTACGAAGTGTTTTTCACCCGTCTAATTTCATTTTTTCTTGTAGTTCATGATGCATATGCCACACAACGGATGTATCAATACATTTTCAAACTAAGATACATCAAAAGAAGTAAATGGAACTCTAAACTACACAAAATATTCATCTTCGTCCATTTGTAACCAAAACACACAAAAAATGCCTGCATATATATTACTTTTGTCCATACCCATAGAGCGATATTTCAAAACACTTCTATGTAGGTGCAAACTTCATTATTAGTAGTACAAACTAAATATATAGAAGTACTCTTTATTTCTTTCTTTATCTAAATTACTTAAACTAGTATTGTTTAGTATGGTGGATATGATGGAGCAACCACAGGTTCATCTGCAAACTCCACATACCCTATTGGTTGTGGAGATGAAGCTGCAAACTCCACATACCCTATTGGCTGTGGAGATGAAGCTGCAAACTCCACTGAACGCACAGGTCCTGGTGCCACATAACTAGAGCTTTTCAATTCCGCCATTCCACGACGAGCATTTCCACCTTTCACTTCACACAACTTAGGAAGAAACACACCTTCACCCGCTGCTAGATTGAAGTAAAGATCAACAATATTTGGACAACTCTGGTAACACTGTGGAGAACATAGCTTCTCTGTGAAACGAGATTCCAGAAGTGAGTCTGATGAAATTCCAAGTGATTTTCTGTCTAAATCACAAGCTTTGATACATTGGTCGCTCTCAATGTGATCTTTTAGTTTATCAGCTTCTATCTCTGATGTTTTGCATGTGTATGCTTCTTCTCCAGTTCTTTTCACGTGTTTCTCGAGGACGCACCTTTTGCTGCTAGATGAAACAGCAAATGAACATTTTTCTGTGCTTAGATTCTCACAGTCTATCCCTCCTGCAATAGTTTCACCATATTATCATATTAGTTCATTAGTCAATCATATAAAAAATAGTAATAAATTAAATATAATCATATATGTCAATGTAATAAAGTAACACGGTATGTAACACTAAAAATATCTTTGTTTAAAGGTGTTGATGCTATATAATATCACAATTTAGCGGTTTTTTAGACTTACCAAGAGTGGATGGCAGGGCTAGGGATATTAGAAGGGAGACTATAACCAAACTTCTTGAGATAAATTTAGAGGCCATGGCTTAAAGCTATGACCAAAACTGGTTGGAAATTTAGTTATGTTTGTGTTTGGAGGAATGTAGTTAATGTAGGTTTATGGCTAGTGCATTTATAGTGGTTTCTCTGTGGAAATTATGACACAAAAGAAAGAAAAAGTAATGGATGTGGACTTTTCAAATATGCTTTTTGGTAAAAATACATAATTCAAATATGCTCTCCATTTTTTTATTTTTTTTTTCTTGTGAAAATTGTTTAATCATATTTTACTGTATTATAATTAATTAGTTTTTTCATCTTTTTAAAGGGTAATAGCCTTCTATGTCTCCCATTATAAGTCATTTAGAAAGAGAAAAAAATAGTACATGTTGTTTAACATTGGAGGGTGTGATTTCTTTTGTTTGTTAATGGTAATTTTTTTTATCAAAATATCACTTTTTCTTAGTACCCTTTTGATGTTTGACAAAATGCACAAGAGAATTATAATAAGGTCTTTGCGAAAGAAAGGCGTGAAGTGCGGTGGTGATGGAATCTCAACTCTGAAGAAATTAAGTTTGAATCTGAATAGCAGTCAACTGATGCCAGTTGCCACTATCAATGCCGGACTCTGTGCCTTCACCATCAAATTCTGCTCGGAAAATTCAAAAACTGCCTAACACATGGAAAATCTATGATTACGTATCGTTAAGCCTAGTCCATTGGGCTTACATATATTGTCATGGGCTAAAAAACCCAATAAAAGTGAAAGGGTTGTTATAACTATCTTTGGTTTGGATTAGTAGGTTATAAGATCAAATATCAAGATTTAAAAAAAAACAGTAAACTAATAAATAATGATTCAAAAATAAAAATGATCGATTTATCTTTAGCACCCTTCGTTAAACTGGAATGTGTATTGTAAAATACAAATTTGTGAGATAGTGTAAAAAAGGACCATGGTACATATTTTTTGTGAAGATATCAATAACTTGTTTGATTAAGTGAATATGCACTACTACGGAAAACATATGCAACAACGGTTGGAAAAAATATATTATTGTAGCGGAGAAATTTGTGAATATAAGTTACTGATTAACTTAACTCAAAAATACAAGAGTCGTCACCGCACTTTTATTTTATCTAAAAAGAAAATGGAAAAGAGCGAACAAAACCTAAAGAGTTCTAAAACAAGAACAAACTGGGTAAGGGCGTTGATTACGCAATGGAAAGATATTAGCACCAAAAACGTCTATAGTACTCTATAGGAGCTCTTTGAAATATTTACTTTTTTTGGTTTAAAAAGGTTTGTTTGAAATGAACTTGGGAAGGTGAGAAGAGAATTATCTTTTAAGATTTTTGTGTTTGGAGAGACTTATCACCTCATGCCTACGTACCCACAAAATGCAATATAGGATCAAAACCGTAATTCGTGGTACAAATAACAAAAATTTGTTGGTTATGATCGATTTTTAAATGTAAACACAAGTCGTCATTTTAAGGAGAAAACTACGACTAGTCGCCCACTAGTTTAAGACAACATTTGCATCACTTAAAGATGGAGGATTTTGCTTGGATTAAAATCAACAAGTCTATTACTCAACATCTAAGCGAAAAATATCAACGTCTTAAATACTATAGGGAATAGGAGAATTATATCTCAACTATGGAAATGACTCATATTTAAACTTTATGAAAAGTTTTAAAAGAAAAAATGCACAAAGATACAAAAGGTTTGAATGAGGTGAAGTGTTTTTAAAATTTTTTTTAAAATTAGTCAAAGTATGATTAACATTGATTGACATTTATTAAAGAAAACAATGTTTGAAAATCACTTGACAAAAGTCAAAGTTTTATTATGAAAGTGGTTTTAAGTTTGAAATACAAGAAGGTTTTTGAAAAAGGGAGAAGAGTTTGAAAATTTAAGAAAGGAGGAGATGAAGTGACTACTATCCTAGAAAGCAAAATAAAAGTTAGAGATAAGAAAGATCTAAACCGAATTATAGCACACTCCATAGCAAGCCAAATAAGAATTATATTCATCTTGAAGCATAAGCAAATGAGCAAGCCAAATAAAGGCAAAGATCCATAATACTCCAAGCATAGGGAAAGAGACCTAATTCTAAGAACAAGGGTGCAAGAATAGTCCAAGAAGTCCAAGGTCTAAGAATAGTCCAAGAGCATGACCACAAAGTTAAGAGCACCAAGTTTTTTAGAGGTTTAATCTTTTATTAGTGTTTTAAACAAGATATGGTTCAAATGGACAAAAGAAAAGGAGCGGAAGTATAAACAATAATATGAGATGATAAAAATGAAGCATAAAAATAAAAGAGAGATATGGAGTAAGAAGGAAACATAAACAAAATTAGTACAATAATATTGTTAGTGAGTTAATGATTAGTTGTTAGAACAAATGATCAATGATGGTTAACTCATGCACTTAGGCCAAAGTTAATGAAGATTCATTAGAGGATTGATAAAATCAAAGCCTCCTAACAACAAGTTTCATAGGTAATGGATCTAAGACAAATAATCAATCATACTTAGACTTTCAAACATAAATTTGAGCCTAAATGATCATTTTCCGATTATGGGACAATTTAGCGTTATGTTAAGCAATCGTAATCGGGTTTATGTAGAAAGTACGACTATCTGAGGTCGGTCAATAAAAATGTTAGTGCTAATGCATGCTTGAGAAGTGATATGTATATCACTCTCTGAAAGCAATACCGCACGAAAAGAAAATAGGTAGCAATCTCATCTTCGTCAAGAACTTGAAATAAGTTACAACGATATCGAATATTTTCATCGATCAAAAGAAAAAGAGAAGATGAGAGGGAAAGTCAAATTGAATTACAATTTCAAGGTCATTCCATCTTCAAGTTCATCCACTCATCTTGATGGATTAAAGAACTAAACATATCATTAACTCAAAACACCTAAAATGAATTGAACAATTCACTTTAAAGATAGATTTAAATTAGTGAATGTTTAGCCAACTTCATCTACACCCTAATTCCAACAAATTTAAAGAGGAATAGGACTTTTAAAAGTGTATTCCAAGGTAAAAACCAAAGGAAAATGGAGGAAGAAGAAGAAGAAGAAGAAGAAGAAGAAGAAGAAGAAGAAGAAGAAGAAGAAGAAGAAAGAATCAAAACAGTCCCAAAACAAGGCCAAAATGGCAAAATTGCTATTGTGTAATCGATTACCCCCAGGGAGGTAATCGATTACCACTGCTAAAACAGCACCAAATCCACTTTTAAAATATGCAAAACTTGATCAATCATTTTTTCAAACACCTAATGATCAAGGATGTAATTGAGCATAAAAATTCAAGTAAAATAACAGCAAACAACACCAATAGAACATAATTTGTAAGATCTAAAGATCAAGCAATAAAAATCAACAATAGATCACATTGTGAAGGATGTATCAAGAGCAACAATGGTGGATCAAGAGATTACCACTTCAAATCTGAAAATTCTTCAAATCAACTCCACAAACCACACTTCAAAGCCTTGATCTACTGAAATTAATAATGAAAAAGTGAATGGATGAAGGTTTAGCTCAAATATTAGTAAGTTCTAATGATGAACTTACTAACTTTCAAAGGAAGAAAAAGCTTTGGTGAATTTGGTAGTTGGAGAAAAAAGAGAGAGTCAAGAAAGAATTTGACAAGGTGAATTTGGCTATCAAAAGCTTGTGAAATGAGAGAAATGAGGATTTTATTTATAGGATTTAGGCTTGGAAAATTTGGTGGATTGGAGTTTGGTTTGGAAACAAAATTAGGCTTGGAATTTGAATTTGGAGGGAAATTAATGATCAAGTGGTGATTAGTGAAGGTGTATTGTGGGAATTAATTATGATGAGGTAGGAGAATTAAAATAAAGTGATATAGAATATTCTCATGATGAAACATTTGAATTTGGTACCAAAAATGCTGTAGAATTTGAATTTGGCCAATTTTCACAAAATGCGCACAGGGTAATCGATTACCCTAATACGGGTAATCGGTTACCACGATAAAAAAATGTGAAAAATTGCTTTTTGATGTTCTGTCTTGGCTCTGCATCGATTATTTTTGCTTGTCAAAGAAGGCATGACAATAAACATGTGAACCTTGGAGTCTCTTGAATAAAGGTCAACCAAATCTTAGGAGACTCTTGATTAGAGGATTCTGAATTGTTTGCAGATCCACTTTGACTTTGTTCAGATAAAATTCATTTGAGCCGAGGGACTGGTATTTGATATCTTTGATCTAAATTCTTCATGAGAGTGAATGGTAGATTTGTCGGCAAGTTGCAATGTCATTTGAGTAGACTTCAACTCCATGTATCCCAACTGCTTCACAATAGATAAGGGTATCAAATTGATACTAGAGCCCAAATCGATCAATTACTTGCCAACGTAAGTATTTCCAATTGTGATAGGCAAAGTGACTCGTCCAGGATCACTTTCTTTCCTCGGGAGAGTCTGTTGAATGATTGCGTTACAACTAGCATCTACCATGATAGTTTCTTGATCTGTATACCGCTTTTTCTCTGTAAGGATGTCCTTCATGAATTTAGCATACTTGGGTATTTACTCCAATGCTTCGAAAAATAGAATATTAATTTGCAATTGCTTGAATATATCCATAAGCCAAGCATAGTGTCTCGCATTGTCTTTCCGTGTCGGAACATGTGGATAAGGCAAATTTTGAATTGGAATATCCTCACTTGCTCTTTTCCCTTCCTAGACTTTTTCACTCTTTCTTCTCTCTTATTTTTCTCTTTTTCCTCTCTCTTTTTTCACTCATTCATTTTCAACTAAATCTCCCTCAACATTTTTTTCTACTTCTTTCTCAACATTTTCATTTTCTTTTTCAACTATAACTTCTTCCGCCACTATCTCATCACCTACGCCCATGTCAATTTCTCTACCACTTCTTGTGAGAATCGCCTTGCAATGCTCCTTAGGATTTGGAAGAGCGGTAGCCGTGAAAGGCCCTTTTTTTTATTGACCAATTGTTTTGATAATTGTCCCACTTATGTCTCCAAATTCTTTT